AACTTTAAAATTTATAGATAGGATGTTTGTGGCTTGATTTGTCAAAGGCTACAGGGTTTATTGGATAGATTTTTGTCCTTGGGGTCAGGAATACTGAGGAAATTGAGGGTTAGAGAAGTAGAATGACTTCCTGCCCAAAGTCACATTAGTGATAGAGCAAGGAACACAACCCAGTTTGTCCAATTCTTGAGACTAATGCTTTCTACCCTAAATGTTTGTAAGTATATTTAACTTACTTCCATAAATGAAATTATCTGAAATCTTCTAATATCCTATGGTTACAAAATTCCCAAATTTGCTGCCCACTATTTAATAATAGAGCTTCTTTTCATTGATCCTTGAAACTGCCCTTTATAAGCTTCAAATGAGAGACTATAATTCTAGAGTAGTTAGAATTTAATGAATTTCTGTTTCTCATCAGGCTGCAATCTGGACTAATCCATCATCCCCCCAGAAAACTCTTCATTCTGGAAGATCACTTCAGCCCTGGCATTCACACCTCAGAAATACCCATAACACCTTCAGCCCCTCCCTCTGATTGGATGGCTCCTCCCAGAACGTTCATTTAAGGAGGCATCCAGGCCAGCCATCTCTTCGTTTTTCACCAAGCTGTAATAAAGACTCTTCCAACATGCCCCTGTGACATAATATCCCCTCCTTCCCTCCATTTCTGATTTTCAGCCTGCTTTTTATATATTGTCTTCCCCAATTAGAAAGTAAACTCCTTGAAGAAAGGAACTATCTTTCTTTTTGCTTGTATTTATATTCCCATCACTTAGTACAGTGTCTATACATAGTGGATTTTTGTTTTACTAAATGAATGAATGAATGTTGCTTTTGATCTAGATATTCCCAAGGTCACACAGCTAGGAAGTGACAGAAGCAGAACAGACTCTGGTATGTTACTGAAACTCCCAATGCCCTAGGCAACTCTTTAAGATTATAAATTGCAGAAAATTTGCCAATCTGAATTGGTAGAGCACATTTCTTCACTGGGAGGAAATAGTGACAAAATCACAGGTTTTATTTTAAAATTATTTTAATTATGTATAGGAGAATTCTTGCTGAGGGGCATTTAGTCAATTACCTTAGAAATTGGTAAGAATGTTTTAAAAAGCAGGGATTCCAAAGGAGGGATTACATGAGGCTAGATACTCTCTAAATTTCTTTTTTGTTCTAAATCCTATTAAAAAAACCTACACAATCTATGGAACCTAGATTCTAGCCCCTTCTGAGACACTAATTTGTATGACTCATATCCTCTCTTCAAGTCTCAGTTCCCTCATCTGAAAAATGAACTGATTAAATCAAATGAACTCTTCTTGCTGTTATCTGCATTGAATAGTCTACATCTAGAAGCCCTGTGTTCAGTTCTGGCCTCCATGTATTAGGAACAGTAGTCAAGGTGGGAAAAAAAGAAAAACCAGAATGATGAGAGCTCTTGGAATAATATCATATGAGGATTGATTGGTTGAAGGAACTAAGGATATTTTGTCTGAAGATAAGAAGACTTAGAGGGATGACACCTGTCTTCATATTTTTGAAGGATTGTCACATGGAAGGGGAATTACATTTTTGTGTATTTCATAGTTTTCTGCAGAAAGTGGAGTCTTAAAAAATGTTTGTTGAATCAAATTGATGAAATAAAAGATCTCTCTGCTTCTCTGAACTAGCCAAAAATGGAAGTGTCTGCCTTGAGGTCTGGGCATCATGTGCTTTCCGGTTTAAGGTCCTTTCAACTCAAAAAAGGAAGGGAGACACTGTCAGGGAATCAATACTAAAGTTGATCTGAGTAAATACCTTCCAAATGCTATATTTCATAAGCATAAACAAAAATGTCAGTTTTCTTTTACATAATTTATGAGTACTGCACATTAATGACATAGCAAAGAAATGAGAGTATGCAAGGGATGAAAGTGATATATTTGTGCCAATGATGAGTTTTGAGGAAAGGCTGAGTTTATGTGAGTGCTACAGGAAGAGGAAGAAAAGTGACTAAACCACCAAACTTTACAATTCACGAAACAATCTCAGAGTTATTAATCACTAAAAGTTTGCATTTGGTAACACAAATACATGAAGGATATTAATTCATACAAAGTCTATAAATGGATAATTAAAACTCAAAGTCAGCATCTGGTCAAAGAATTTTAGAACTGCAAGGGATTGACAAAATCACCTTGGCCATTTTACAATCTATTTTATGGAAACAGAAAGACCTAGAGAACTTGTTAGACAATCTGTCCAAGGTCACATAGTAAATGGTGTAATGATATTAGAACCCCAAAATTTTAATTTCTAAGCCAATGCTATTTGCATTCAATTATGTTTTAAATTAATGAAAGAATTTATCTTGTTTTTAGTTCTTTTAGAGTGCTGATGGTTAAAAAGACTTTGTCTTGAAGACTTACTAGCAGTATTATGTATTGATAAATGCTTCCAGAACACGCACACACGCATGCACACACGTGCACATCCTTGGCTTATTAAATTAAGAAACAAATTGAGAATCTCATGCAAAATGTGAGGTGAGATCATTGGTTCATGACTGACATTTAGCTGGCTGGAAAAAAAAGTCATCCTTTAATTACAGATGTATTAATGAGGCTTTATCAAAAGGTACTTTTTTTAAAAAAAATAACTTCCTATAACACAAAGGTATAGGTTTAAAATAGTTCTTTTAAAAAATGGCATGTCCTTCTCTTCCCAATACAATGAGCTTCTTAGTGCTTTAGAATACATGGAATATGTAATTGTACTTTGTCAAAGGCTTTTTCTGCATACAGTTGATGTAATCATGTTTGGAGCTTTTCTTCTTTGATGTGCTTATTATGTTGTTTCCTACTTTTGAACCATCTTTGAATTGGTATTAATATAACTCAGTCATTTTAAATAATTTCTGTATGTATCACTGTTGTCCTTTTTCTGGATTTCATTTAAATATTTTATCAATATTCATTAGTAATATTGATTTACATTTCTTTTTTATTTCTTTCTCTCTCTGATTTAGGTAATTAGGACTACATTTGTTTATAAAAGGAGTTCAGTAGTGCATTTTTTCTCAGTTTTTGAGGATAATGGGATAATGTATATTGTATAGGTATTGATTGTTCTTTAAATGCTTGATAGAGTTCAACTTTAAGCTTATCTGGACCAGTCCCTACTCCCTTCACCTCACAGTTCTTTAATAATCTATTCAATTTCATTTTCTGGGATTGAATTAAGATCTCCATTTCATTTTCTGTTAATTTGGGTATTTTATATTTGAATTCTTTTTATAGTTTTGTGGGAAATGTATACTTATTCATCCACTCTCTCTTGCCAAGTTCCCTACTGACATTTGTGAGAGAACTGGTAGAGATAGGAATGCAGCCAATGGCCAAAATACATAGCTAACTAGATCATTTTAAAATTGTTTTCCAGACCTGTAATTTCACTGGTGTAGGGAATTCCCCACATGGAAACCACCCTCCATAGTTACAGAGCAATAGCTATGGGCTAAGAAAATTGCCCAGAGTACAAAGAGGTTAGATGGTTTGCCCATGGTCACACAGAGGGTATATATATGTTGGATCCAGATCATGAACCCATGTCTTCCTGACTCCAAAGCCAGCCCATCATCATTACCTCATGCTTTATCTCTAGATCATATGTTATGCAAAATCCCTAATTTTACTCCCTTAGCACTAAGTGATAACCAGTCTGGTCCTAAATAGATTGACAATGAGTTTAAAATATTTTCTCGTTCATTCTTCTTCCAACTCAGCTCCTGAATCTAGATTTCTCTACCATTTCCCAGCATCCTTCTCACCTTGAAAGATACCTCTCCATCCTAAAACCCCCTTCTCTGATTGGTGATTTCCTCCCAGAGATGCCCAGCCAGCCATATTTACTTCTTACTCCTCTCCCAGATCCTCTCCTGTCTGGACTTTTCCACCCTCTCCACTTAGGGAGGCATTCCTAGGCACATCCCCAACTTTTTAGCTTCCTTTTAATATTTCATCTTTGCTTAGGTGAATACAAGCTCCTCAAGGATGGGGATTATCTTTCTTTTTGTTTCTACTTGTATTACTAGTGCTTAGCATAGTGCCTGGCACATAGTAAGTGTTTCATAAATGTTTATTGACTTGTAGACTTTCTCTGTACAATTGGCCTCCAAGTTGACATTAGAAGTCAAAAGGTACAAATCATCCATATTATAGGGGTTGTGGAAAAAAAGATAGACTAATAACTTGGTGGAGTTGTAAACTGATCCCACTAATTTAGAAATCAACTTCAACTCATTCAAAGAAAGTGAACAAAATGTCCTAAATCTTAGACTTAGAGATTTCACCATTAAGCTGTTCATTAATGTGGTCTATGACAAAAGGAAAGGGCCTATGTACACCAAAATATTTACAGCAGCACTTTTGTTATAAGGAAAAAATGGAAATGAAGTAATAGCCCACTTATTAGGGAATGGCTAAAAAAACTGTAATAATCAGGGCTGCTAGGTGGCACAGTGGATAGAGCACAGACCCTGAATTCAGGAGGACCTTAGTTCAAATCCAGGCTCAGAAACATACTATTTAACTAGCCATGTGACCCTGGGCAAGTCACTTAACCCCATTGACTAACCAAAAAAAAAGCTGTAATAGCCACATGTAACAGACTATTACTGGGCTGTAAGAAATTATGTTTTGGTTAATACAGGAAAGCATGAGAATTTTATGATGCAAAATAAGCAGAATCAGAGAAACAGTGCAAAAAATTAATGTGAATGGAAAGAATGGGTAAACAATCAAAACAGGACACTGTTTGGCCCCCCAAAAAAGATATTTAAAAGTACCTGCCATTTCCCCTCACATTCTTGTAGAGGTAGGGGCCTATGAATGTGGAATACTACATGTAACATTGGACTTGGTTGATGTTTTAGTTAATTTTTACTCATGTTTTTCTCTTTTTTATTCTTTGTTATAAGGAGTAACTATCTGGGAGAGGGAAGGATGGATTCTTAAATGTAGGTGACTTTCAAACAAAATAAATGAAAAACAATTTTAAAAAGAATTCCATGCAAAATGCAAATTGGTCTCTTTTCCATAGAAAATGAAGCTTTATCTTGTCAACATCTTGATGGCATTTAACGGCGTTGAGCAACATCATCATTTTGTGGTTTTCTTTACCACCATGGCCCTGAAACACAAAAAAAGAAAACATTTAAAACAGGAAAAAATAGGAAGGAAATTATCTGTTCTCTATGATCAAGCAAAACATTATTTTAGCATGTATTCCCACTTCCTTATAGAACTAATTTAATTTAACTAAATTTAAAAGCTTTTTTTGGAATGCTGCAAATCTCCCTTCCTGAGAGGAAAAGAGCTAATAATGAAGGATAAAGTATGATTCATGGGAAGGAGATAAACCCTAGTTTAAATGACAAGAGTCTGTTGGGAATTTTCATGATACCAGAGTCACTAGGTAGCTTGCGAACCCTAATCAAATGGTTCTTGATAAAGCAAGATTGGGAGATTACTGGACAAAAAGCTAATATTCAAATAATTACACATCACTTTCCTTTGACAAAGGAGTGATAAAGTGCTCTAGGTACTGTATACTTCAGCACAGGTGTGAAGTATATAAACCCAGGGACACTATCTCCTTACAATTGACTTTCCCAAGGCCATTAAAGATATCTTTAGACCCAGGTCACATTTGACATTTTTAGTAACAACTTAGAATGCTCCTATTGTTTGGTGAAAGAAGACTAGACAGCGATCATTCTGGGAAAAGATGAATGAGTTCTGTGGCCACTATTCAAAATAGGAAATTTATATTCAACAATTTATTCACAATGATAATTTCCTCAGAAATCCTTCAGATTATAGGATTAAAGACTAAAATTGAAAGAAATTTTGGAACACCTTGTAATACCCATCTTATTTTACAGATAAGGAAATCAAGGCCCAAAGAGGAAAAGTGATTTGTACAAGGACACAGAAATAGGTCATAGCACAGCTAGAATATGATGCTAGGTCTTCTTGCTCCAAACCTGGTACCCTTTCCACTGCATTACTCTGTCTCTTTTTTGCTTACCTGTGAGGTGAGAAGGCAGATTTCTAGAATTTCTCTTTGGGTAAACTCAGATGCATGGAGTTGATGTAATTGGGAACATCACTTTCAATCAATAATCAACAAATATCCATTAATCAAACAAATACCCTATGCCAGGCATTGTGCCAAGCAGTGGGAATGCAAAAAGAGGGAAAAGATAATCCCTGCCCTTGAGGAACTTGTAATCTAATGGGGGAGACAAGATACAAATATATACAAAGTCATCTATCTACACATGTCAGGAGGACCTGAGTTCAAATCCAGGCACAGATACTTCCTAACCTTGAGCAAGTCACTTAATCTCTGTTTGCATAGGAGACAGCTGAATGATTCAATGCATGGAGCACTGGGCCTGGAGTCAGGAAGATTTGAGTTCAAATCTAGCCTCAGACATTTACTAGCTGTGTGACTCTGGGCAAGTCACTTAACTTTGGTCCCCTTAATTCACTGGGGAAGGACATGGCAAAACACTCCTGTTTCTTTGCCAAGAAAAATCCATATGCACATATAGACATATGTTGTTGAGTTGTTTCAGTTGTGTCCAACTCTGTATGACCCCTCTTGGAAACATACTGAAGTGGTTTGCCTTTTCCTTCTCCAGTGGCTTAAGGCAACAGAAGTTAAGTGACTTGCCCAAGAGAAACGAGGAAATGGAGGCAAACAGGGTTAAATGACTTGCCCAGGGTCACACAGTAGTAAGTGTCTGAGGCTAAATTTGAACTCAGGATAATGAATCTTCCAGACTCTACACCTGGCATTCTATCAACTGCACCACCCTACCTCAATAGATAGATAGATAGATAGATAGATAGATAGATAGATAGATAGATAGATGGATGGATATAAATGTATATGGTAAATAATCTAATAATGATCTACATACTGCCAATTGGTTTTGTTGTGATAATTCTTCAAATTCTACTTAAGGAATCCCCATTCTGACTTAAATGTATGCATTGTAACACATTACAAGCTGGGGAAGAATTAGTTTTTTTTTATTATTTTCATTATTTTGCTCATTAAGTCAATTTGATATATATATACATTTATATATATATGTATATAAATATAATATATATATATATATCAGTCTCTTAGTAAAGAAAATGGATATATAGCCCACACCTGAAGCCTTAGAACCTTTCCTACACTTTAATTCTTGTCTTTTAATCTGAATGACTACTTTCTACTTCCCACATTCATGTATTCTAGCCAATGCAGAAGTTCTTGACCTTATTTCATATGTAATGGACCCCTTTGGAAATCTGGTGAAGCTTATGGCTTCCTTCTAGAATAATATTTTCAAATACATAAAATAAAACATTTAAGCTCGCAAAAAAACCAATTATATTGACATAGTTACCAATATATTTTAAGCCCCTACGTAAGGATTCCTGATCTAATGTCTTTATGAGAAAAAGATTAATGAATTATAACTGTGATGTTGATTGGCTTTCATAGACTTCATGGCTGAGAAGTAGAAATTATAAATATAAAACAAATGGGTATAATTACGGTTTCTCAAATATTCAAGATAATAATTTCTACTTCAGTATAGTATTATAAAAATGTCCACATTAACAAGAAATGCACAAATAAGATGTGGTTTGACTGGAGAAGAAAACACAAAGAGAAAATCTGCTTCTGGATTTATAATGCCCCCAAACACTTTGTCATAATGGTTCATATTCTGCTCCATAAACCAAACAGATAATATACAGCTTCCATTGCTTTGTTCTAAAACTCACTAGAAGAATTAATCTGGTTTCTTAAAAAAATATCTATCCATGTTCCATTTTCCCTGGGTTGCGGTTATGGCCCTTCAGTATAATGACTACTCCAGCACTAATCGTAGTCATATCATTGTCAATCTTTCCTTTAAGGCTTAAAGATTTCAACTTTATGAGTTTCAGGAGAAAATTCAAGAACAACATTAGTAGCTATTACCAAAATGGAACTTAAAATGTAAAAAAAAAAATGTTATAAATAGATAGATCGATAGATAAATATATGAATGAATGATTTTTTTTCAAACCTATTTCCTCAACTCTACCTCTTAGCCTCCTTCAAGATTCAGTTCAAATCCCACTTTTTTTAGGGGGTCTTTTCAGGTTTCTCTGTGTTATTTATGTCTTCTTTTCCACAACTATCTTACAGATTTATTCTATATGTATAGTGTACATATCTAGGTATTTACATATTATCTCCAACATTAGAATGAGATCTCCTTGAGGACAAGGACTGGGGTGTGTGTGTGTGTGTGTGTGTGTGTGTGTGTGTGTGTGTGTGTGTGTGTGTTTGCCCTTTTTTGTATCCCTAGCATTTAGCAAAATGCCTGGAACGTAAGTGCTTAATAAATGCTTGTTATCTGACTGTCTGACTATTTATGATGAATAACATCATTATAATTCAGCCTAGAGACAGAATAGTTCACATTTATCTTAAGGTGAAAATGACTTTAATATTACCCTGATATTCCAGTGGAGGTGATATTTGTCTAATTTTGAAGATTATATTCTAACCATTACTGTCTACTCTATATAACACTTGTCCACATCTCACCATAAATTTATTCATTCTCTTTCTGTTGTAAGGATCTCAAAAAAGGATACTATATACCTTATCTCTCACTCACACTATTTTCTATTCTGTCATGTATATCTTTGGTGACATCCTTTATACTTCTGCATAATTCCTTTCTTTCAATGTGTTGTAGGCTTCTCAGGCCCACCATCCATCTTTTCATTGCCTTTTGGATGACCCTCAACTTTCATTCATGGAGAGTGGAATTTTCCATGACTTGCAGACATATGACATCACTGGAATATCATATTTTAAAAGACAAGCCTTTGTTCCAGGAACTTTGAAAATTGTAAAGGATGGCTTAGTTTGGCAACTTCTTGCTCAAATATGGAACCTGTTCATTGCTCATTTGCAATGTCTGTCAAAGATACATTGATGATAGATATGGATAATAGAGATATAGGTATAGACAGAGATTAGATGTAGATGACACATATAGATGTAGATGATATAGATATGAGAGATAGTGAGAGACAGAGACAGAGAGAGGTATAGGTATAAATATAGATAGGTACTATACATAAATATAGATAGATGCTATAGTTAATGATTATAGAGTAGATATAGACAATGAATATATAGATGATATAGTTATAGGTATATGGGAGAGAGGGAGACACAGAGAGAGAGAGAGAGGTATAAATATAGATAGATACTATAGATATGGATTATAGATATGGTTTTAGACATAGAGATAAATATGTATATACATACTGATGATTGGGGTTTACTGAACCATTGCCAACTTTATTTTGAATCACCCTTTAAGCTATTTCTTTCTCCACTCTAGTACAAGACAGAATTGCTTGCACTGGAATTCAAGTACCTTAGTACTAGTTAAACAGAGGCACATTTCTTTTAGGGCATACAAAGGGCCAGATTCTGGCTGGTTTATAAAATCAAGTTCTGAAAAACAAATAGGATTTCAAAACTTGGTGCAGATAGCTGAATACCAAGCAGATTACACAATATCTCATTCACACTGACACCCAGGAAGTGTGCTGAGTCTTGTGGAAGTCAGTAGCCTCGCCATTATCTACTCTCAGAAGCTGTAAACAAGACCATGTGAGGACTCAGCTGGAAAGTTTCCTCTGAGTCAGACTACAAACTTCCGAGCATGATGTTGCGGGTGGAAACAGATACAATCCCAAAGACGCACAGAACAGAAAACCGGAGGTATGAGACTTGAGTTCTTTATTACAATGTCACACATTGGACACAAAAGAGTAGGCTTTTATTTCTTTCAAAGCATCACATAATAAACATTCAGAATGTGTGTAGGTTTTATCATTTCTACATAGTTTCCAAACAAAGATATATATATAGATATATATATATATAGATATATATATATCTATATAGATATATAGATATATATATCCCATTGTAAAGCATATACCCAAAGAGTTTAAAGACTGAAATTTCTCACATATACCAAAATATTCATATCAGCATTTTAAGGGCAGCAAAAAACTAGAAACAAAGCAGATACAGAGCAG